GGGGGGGGGGGGGGGGGGAATTTGTGGAAGAAAGACAGCAAAATCCACGGGGCTAGAGATAAAAGAAATAATTACCAGCTAATATGTTTACCTATTAACTTCCTTTCAAGTTACTTAAATTTTAACTCTAATTGTGTTTGCGTCCACCTACTGCTGTTCACTTATTCACCTCAATTTAAATGTGCCTCGGTATTCAAATTTGACATGTCGGTTTCTAGAAATTTTTAAGCTTATTACCATTAATTAAATGAGCGTTTGATCTCTAGTGGGCTTTGTTTTTTTTCATGAAATAGCACTCTTTGTTTACCAGGCGGTGGAATTCATTTTGGTGTAAGAAAAAAGTAAAACCCTTTTAATCTATGGATTAAGCTTAAGGGATTTGCCTTTCTGGTCTCTTGTTTATTCGAGTTCATTTGCCTCATTTTTAAATTTGATTTGTTTAATCCCTTTTACAATAATTATTGTCTTAGTCTATAGTCACTCTGCAGTAAAGTCATGTTAAAGCGTCGACTCCTATCAATATTCATTTCATATATCAAGCGTTTTGATAGTTAACATTAGCCCTTTAGCTGACTTCGGGGTTCACGGAGAGAAGAAGCATGAAAGTAACAGAAAGTCGAGGGGTGTGGAATAGAAGAGTGATTTACAGATGTAAAAGAGCCAGACAGACGCAAAAAAAGGTAAGATGAGTACTGAAGAAGTGATCGAATATGACATACAGTAGAGTCATGGTAGAATGAGTCAGAAGTCAACTGTCGATTAATAGACTTTTTTGTCGTATGAGTATACGTTGCCCAGGGCGTAGGTAATAGACTTTTTTGCCATATGAGTATACGTTGCCCAGGGCGCACAAATAGATTTTGCCGTATGAGTATACGTTACCCAGGGATAGACTTTTTTGTCGTATGAGTATACGTTGCCCAGGGTGAACCACGTGGAGATAAGTCTATCGCACACCCCACTCCTATCAATATTGTTTATGGGGTTTTAAAACTTTTACAGGTTGATATTATGGGAGAACGTTCACATAAATGGCACTGTAACTGAGTTCAATATGAAATGCAAAGGAAAAGAGATCAAGGCGAATCTGGCTATGAGATCTGGTAATCAGAATGTATTAGGATTTTAGCACTCTCAAAAGAAGTAAAATTGCCTTAGGAATATCCTCATGTTCAAATTTTATTAACTGACTCTTAAATTAATGTGTGTGTGAGAGAAAGAGAAAGAGAGGGAGGGAGGGAGATAGAGGGAAGGAAAAAATATGTCCAAAAACAATCAAAGTTTGTTGACAGGTTGATTTAATTCTGTGATTGGTCATTACACCATAAAAGCAGGCGAATAATGCTGACTCCTAATTTACGAATAATAAAAAATAACCAGTCAAATTACGTGATTAATAAACTTTTATTGAAATACAGTGATATGGCAATGCCAGAATCTAACAGCACGAATTAAATATGTATTCTACCCTTCAATAAGTCACAAAACTCTAAGAAAATCTAGTGAATGCTTGTGCTCTGTGACTCATTGCTTACTCACTATATTAAAAACCATATCATATCACACATCAGAATCTCCTTAACACATGCTTAACACAAGGAAACTTGTCATAGAGCCTTCTGTATGCTGGGCCTATTTTAGACATTTCAGAAGCCAACTTCTATCTTTCTCCCCAACCAAGTAACGGTGGCTTTGTCTACGAAGATGCAATGGGATTCCAGACAGGTCCCTTCTGTTCCCCAAGGGGTACCGCACCTCTACTGACGGAAGTTACCTCTGTGAGCGGAAATGAAGCAACTCCTCAATCAACACAATTTCTTACTGCAAACACGACTACTGCTATTCCAGATGGTGTCATCCGTTTAGCCTGTCTTCCTGCAAAACAGTCGCATACACTGGCGAGATGCAATTTCATCGGACAGAAAAAATTGGTATGTTTAAATTGTCTCAAAAATATGAAGAAGGAGTTTTGAGCAATTTTTTTAGGATTGCACTCTCCATTAGTTTCGAATACTTTTTATTTGTTATAGATAGCATAAATTCTCCATTGGGGAATAAGCACTGGGTTTTTCCCAGGAGAAACAGAACAGATTTCCCCCTAAACAACTTTTAGGTTTCTCAAAATCTGGGCCAAATTCAATGGTGGATATTAAAGTAGAGATTCTAACTAATAAATCATTCAGAGCATTGCAGCTTTCTGGGTTTAGCATAAAATTTATCAATAATTCTTAAGTAATGCAATGCTGATAATGTTAATATGTAGAATGCTAAATTTGGCAAATTAGATAGGCAAAACTGATCTATTCTCATGCCATCTCAAATGGAATTCGGTAAAATGTAGAATTTAATGACACGTCACAGTCTCTTATTCATTATTTTAAGGTAGAGAATTACAATAGTCAAAATGTTCTTAACATTGTTATATAATGAGGCGGGAGGGGGTGATTTATTGCTGTGTGATAAGTTGTGAACAGATTAAAGAGATCCAGTTAAGCTCTCTCCCATCAAATTTTCACTTGGCATATTGAGGTAGTTCCAATGAATGACCCACTTAAACCCCAGCGACCTTTACGAGTGCCGTGGTATTGAATATTTGGTGGAGCAATGGAACTACTTTATCCGTCAACATGAGGCAGCATTTTTTCAGTTTCTGATTTTTTAACCAGAATATATGAAAGAGTTAAATAAAAAACCAAAAAACCTTTCCTTCAACTATGCAATGCTTTAAGGCATCGATAAAGCGCAGAGAAGATACAACCACAGTCAATGTTATAGTGTCCTAATGAGAAAAAGGATTTTTACCTGAAGATCTGATCAAATCAATTCTCCTCATTCAATCAGTTAAACCCTAATCTGGAACTGTGGAATTCAATACTCTAAATTATGGAGCGATTTTAATTGCAGAAATATATATATACATATATTATTTGTCTCACAGGAAGATCTAATCTATTCAGGAAGTCCATAGCCTTAGAGATGGGCAACTGAGATTTCCAGTCTTCTTTAGTGAAAAATCTGATCTTCTTCATTAGATATTTATTACGGGCAAATTACATTCAACAGGAATTCTATTTTGTGTGATTTAATGGTCCTTGCCACGTAGTCTCATAAGGTAGAACTGGGGGGGGGGTCTTTCCTATAAGTTTCTGCTACTATTCCACCACCAACCACCTCCCTCCTTTCGCAAATGAAGAGAATTACAACAACAGCAACTACGCATCTACCAATTCGAGTGGTAAACTACGTAATAGTTTCGGAAATGCAAGGATATTGCGGTTATGAAGAAAGTCGCATGCTTAAAATAATCTTGGCATAAACAATTATAAACTCTCCCGAGTTTTATGCAAATTAGTTAATAAAAACCGCCAAACGCTTTTTTTGGCTTATAAATAATTCAAATAATTTCCGTTGGGCGGTGAATTGAAGCGGAAATCAATCACCAACTCCTCCTCCTCCACTGAGATTTTTTTATTACCTACCGAAAAAAGATGCCTTTCGAGGACATGTAGAAAAATAAACAGTTATAAATGATGTCAAACAAGGCACAATCCCTCGTTAGAAGAAAATGGAAAATATTTTCGCTGCCTAGTTTGACATGTGAACACAGTCATTTTTAAGGGGGGCGTGGTGGGGGGTGGG